CCCTCCCACCTCTGATCCCTTTCCTATACTGATCTCACTTTGATTTTCATGAGCTCAACCCATACCTTTTTTTTTCTTTCTTTCTTTCTTTCTTTCTTTCTTTGTAGTACTGGGGATTTGAACTCAGGGCCTTGTGCATGTGAGGTAAGTACTCTACCAACTGAGCTATATCCCAGCCCCCTCCCGCACCTTTCTTTTACTTTTTCCTCTCTAGCTTCTACATATGAGAGAAACATATGACCCTTGACCTTCTGAGTTTGGCTTATTTTTATTAACATAATGGTCTCTAGTTTCACCCATTTTCTGGCAAATGACATTTCATTTTTCTTTATGGCTGAATAAAACTCTCTTGTATATATATATAGCACATCATCCTTATCCATTCATCCATTGATGGACACCTAGGCTGGTCCCAAACAATAGTTTGGCTATTGTTATTTGTGCTGCTATAAACATGGGTCTACATGTATTGCTGTAGTAAGAGGACTTTGATTCTTCAGGGTAAATGCCAAGGAGTGGTATAGCTGGGTCATATGGTGGTTCCATGCCTAGTCTTTTGAGGAACCTCCATACTGATTTCCATTAGGATATACTAATTTACAATCCCACCAACAGTGTAAAAGTATTCCCTTTTTTCCAAATCCTATACAACATTTATTATTATTTGTATTCTTGATGACAGCCATTCTGACTGGTGCGAGATGAAATCTCAGAGGAGTTTTGATTTACATTTCCCTAATTGCTAATGATGTTGAACTTTTTTTTCATATATTTGTTGGTTATTTGTGAATACCTCAATTTCTTAAAAGCTCTTTGAACTGGATATCGACTCTTATTGGTTTCCACATAAACTGGGTGTTATGGTGTAGATATGAGGCTAATGTTCAGAGGTGAGATGAGTAGATTAGGGGAGCTGTAACATAAACAGTGGATTAATCCCTTTAGTGGGTTAACTGGATGCTAACTGTAGACAGGCAGGGTGTGGCTGGAGGAAGTAGGTAACCATGGGTATAACTTTGGGGTTTATATATTCTGTCCCTAGACAGTGGAGCTTCCTGACCCTG